TTGGTTTCTCTTCCCCTAGCCAGTTTGTCCAGTGGTTAGAGCATTGGCCCATGGACTAAAAGGATGAGGGTTCAATTCCAGTCAAGGGCATGTACTTGGTTGCAGACTTGATCCCCGGTCCTAGTCAGGGTGTGGGAGGCAACCAATCGATGTGTGTATCTCAGCAATGTTTCTATCTGTCTCTACCCCTCCCTTCCACTCTCTAAAAATCAATGGAAAAAATATCCTTGGGTGAGAATCAACAACAACAAAAAGAAAGGCATCTCAAGAAGAAAAGAGTGTTCTAACTTCAAAACATTCCACCTCAAAGTCATAAACTTCTGGCACAAATTACAGTGGGATTTGTCCCAATGATGTTAAGTTTATGATGAATTCCTTACAACAAATACCAGTTTGTTAATACTATTTCCCAAGAAAGGCTTTTCTCCATGTCCACTCATTTAAAACTTAACAATATCAAATGTTACTGAACGCTTACTTTGTGCATGCTCAATGCAAAGCACTCTATATAGATCAGTGGTTCTCAACCTTGGCTGCACATTAGAATCACCTGGGAATCTTTTTAAAATCCTGATTTCTGGGCCTCATCTTCCGGAAATTCTGTTTCTTTGTTATGGGTGAGGCCACAACATTCGTAACAAAGAAACAGAATTTCCAGAGGATGAGGCCAAAAATCAGGATTTTAAAAGATTCCCAGGTGGCCCTGACTGGTTTGGCTCAGTGGATAGAGCATCAGCCTGCGGACTGAAAGGTCCCAGGTTTGATTCCAGTCAAAGGCATGTACCTTGGTTGCAGGCACATCCCCAGTAGAGGGTGTACAGGAGGCAGCTGATCGATGTTTCTCTCATTGATGCTTCTAACTCTATCCCTCTCCCTTTCTCTCTGTAAAAAAATCAATAAAATATATTTTAAACAAAAGATTCCCAGGTGATTCTAATGTGCAGCCAAGGTTGAGAACCACTGATATAGATGATCTCATTTAATCTCCTCATGACCCCAGGAGGCATGGGCATGCTTCAGTCATCCTCTTCTGACAGAGGAGGGACTGAGGCTCTGTGGTTGTGTAGCTTGACAGAAGTTGTGCAGCCAGTGCAGCTTCAGAGCCAGAACGTGACACCGTGTCTGCCTCCCGAGGCCACATGTGTGGTCAGTTAGTTTGCTCTTCCTTGTAGAATCTTTGGTCCTGATGTGTTGCTGGGCTGTTCACATATTTGACTTGTTTCCCAACTGGATTGTAGCCCATCTAAAATCACATATTGTGATTCGTTCATCTTGCTGTTTTCAAAAATACCTAGCATGCCGTAGCCTCAAAATGAAAGTGTACTGATTGACTTGAACATTATCCCTCAAACTTACAGATCTCAGATCTCCATTTCTCCCTTTTGGGGGACTTGGTGGATGTTGCATGAATGAAGGGTGAAGAACAAAGGTGTTTCTTATTCTACAGGTATTTTTCAAAGAAGTAGGCTCCTTTCTGACTATAATAATTCAAACATCGCCTTATTTAAGGTAAAATACATCAACATTATTATTTCATTTGCTTCCTACTATATTTATCACTTGTTCCTCATCTCCAGATACCATTTGAGAAGCATTAGCCATTTGCTATGCATAGTTTGAGTTATTTATGTCCTATTTTTATTTCTCATTGGGGATTTCCTTTAAACCATATCTAGCCCTCCAACTTTGGGGGGAGGGAGAAAAAGATGCGTGCTAGTCTGGTCTATTGCTAAATATATATTTCCTTTCTTTGAATCTGTACCGTGCGGTTTTTACCACAAGTGTAAAGTAAAGGTTAAAAGAGGCTAATTGGTACAAAAGGTCCTTAGGTTAAAAAAAAATCAAATTTGTCATAACATGAAATTTTACTTTGCACAGTTGGTTTAATGTATAGATAATTACAATCAACAGAATAACAGAATATTAAAAAATGTAAATTCAACTGGCTATTGATCATTTATTGTCTTAAATTCAAATTCACTATTCAAGTAGTTATAGCATTCTTAGATAATGATATAGCGTATTGGTATCATTTTAAACATTCCTAACTTTTTACATATAACATTTATTCAATTGATAACAAATATTTATTGAGCACCTACTATGTATCAGGCTTAGTGCTCTGGAGTTACACTGGTAACCAAGACAGACAGACACAGACCCTGCCCTTATGGAACTAACATTCTAGAAAGACGAATTGAAAAAAAAAAAAAGTAAAGTAACCAAAATGACAAAGAACTGCAAGTTGTAATAAGTGCTAAAAAACAACACCACCCAACATATCCCAGAACAAATAGGGCCTGGGATAAAGAATCAAATTGGGGTAGGGTTTTGTGGCAGGGTAAAAATGCTTTCGATCGCATGGTTTGGTTTCAGCCTTTCAAAAGGAGGAAATCTTTAACCTGGAAGTTGAAGAATTAGTAGCAGATAGGTGAAAAGTGTGTGTGTATACCCAACTCACAAAAAGGAAGCTGAAGCTATAAAGTCATTGAGGCAGGAAAGAATTTTGGGGGTTGAGGCACTGAGAGAAGCCTGGTATAGTTTTAAAAAAGAGAATGAAATGAGAGGCCGTGGTCACAGGTGAGGTTGCTGAGGTTGGTGAGGTGGGCAGGATCTGGACGGTGTGGAGGGTTATGAGTCATTGACATGGAAGGGGTTTGCATCTTATTCTAGGTATGGAAAGCCATTGAAAGGTGTTAAACAGGGATGTGACAGGATTTGATCTACTGGCTCAGAGGACACTCTCAATGGGTGAGAAAAATAGATCCAAAGAGGAACAAGGAAGAACAATAGAGACCTTGGGAAGCCACTATGGTTTCTGAGGTGAGAAATGGTGGCGACTTGGACCAGGTCGGTGGTAGTGAAAGTAGACAAAAATGGATGGATTGGTGGTGGGATGCACGTGGACGATGTGGAAGAGAGGAATGAAGCCTGATCCATCTTTTTGACTTGAGACAAATGTAATAGAATGTGGGAATGGGGAAGCAGTTTTGTAGGAATTGATTCTGTTTTGAACGTGTTAGGTTTGAAATGTTTATAAGCTATCCAAACAAAGAAGTCAAGTTGGCAGGACAAGCTTACTGGTGTGAGCTCAGAGAAGGGGTCCCTATTAGATCTATTACTTGGGGAATAATCAGCTTATAAACAGCATTTAAAACTCTGGAAATGGGTGAGATCAGCTAGGAAAGAGAATTCAAAGAAAAAGAGAAGAGTATTTAGGATAAATCCCCAATTTATACATTGGATAGGCATAAAGCAGTGGTTCTCAACCTTGGCTGCACATTAGAATCACCTGGGAATCTTTTTAAAATCCTGATTTCTGGGCCTCATCCTCCGGAAATTCTGTTTCTTTGTTACTAATGTTGTGGCCCCACCTCATAACAAATAAACAGAATTTCCGGAGGATGAGGCCCAGAAATCAGGATTTTAAAAAGATTCCCAGGTGATTCTAATGTGCAGCCAAGGTTGAGAACCACTGGAGTAGAGGAACTTGCAAGGAGCCCAAGGAAAAAGTGGAGAGACAGGTAGGAGAGAAACCAGGAAGCCCCCAAGAAAGAACAATGTTAAGTAATCAAGATTCGGACAAACAACTTAATCTTTCTGTGCCTCTGTCTCCTCCTCTCTAAAATAAAAATTTATAAAACATGTAGAGTTTTTATTAAATAAATTAGAATAGTGTAGTAGTTTTCTATTGTTTTTGGAACAAAGTACCATAAGCTTAGTGTCTTAAAGCAACAAAAATGTATCATCATTATGCTAAGTGAAATAAGCCAGTCAATGAAAGAAAAATACCACATGATCTCACTCATTTATGGATAATTAAGACCATTATAAACTGATGAGCAAAAATAGATACAGAGGCAGAACAACATCGAACAGACTATCAAACTACAGGGGGAAGGCTGGGGAGGGTTGGGGGGTGAGGGAGGGAGTAAGAGATCAACCGAAGGACTTGTATGCATGCATACAAGCATAACCAATGGACACAAGACACTGGGAGGCATGGGAGGCTAGGGGAGGGTCAAGGGGAGGGATAAAAAGGAGACCTATATTATACTCTTTGTAATACTTTAAACAATAAAACAATTAAAAAAATGTATCATCTTCCATATCTGGGGGTCAGAAGTCCAAAATAGATCTTTTTTCACCAAGCTGATATCAAGGTGTCAGCAGGCCTGTGTTCCTTCTGGGGCAGTGGTCGGCAAACTGCGCGCATGTGGCTCGCGAGCCACGGTTGGCCAACCACGGCTCTAGACCGTCTTCACTCTCTCCATCAGGCAGAGTCCCGTGCACTCACTTTTTCAGCCCCATTCCAACACCACTCTTCTCAGAAGCCTTTTCAACCCTAGCAACGATGTCTTTTCTCTCCCTCAACATTAGTGTT